GTGATTCTGATGGGCTTCCCTTTGTGGGTGACCTGACCTTTCTCTCTGGCTGCCCTTAGCATTTTCTTTTTCATTTCTACGCTGGTGAATCTGACGATTATATGCCTTGGGAGTGTTCTTCTTTAGGAATATCTTTGTGGTGTTCTCTGTATTTCCTAGGCTTGAATATTGGCCTGCCTTGCTAGGTTGGGGAAGTTCTCCTGCATAATATCCTGAAGAGTATTTTCCAGCTTGGCTTCATTATCTCCGTCACATTCAGGTCCACCTATCAAACATAGATTAGGTCTTTTCACATAGTCCCATATTTCTTGGAGACTTTGTTCATTCCTTTGTAGTATTTTTTCTCTAATCTTGCCTTCTCATTTTATTTCATTGAGTTGATCTTCAACCTCTGATATCCTTTCTTCTGCTTGGTCAATTCGGCTGTTGAAACTTGTGTATGCTTTGCGAAGTTCTTCAGTTGTGTTTTTCAGCTCCAGCAATTCACTTATATTCCTCTCTAAGCTGTTTATTCTTGTTAGCATTTTGTGAAACCTTTTTTCAAGGTTCTTAGTTTTTTTTGCATTGGATTAGAACATGTTCTTATAGCTCAGAGAAGTTCTTATTACCCACCTTCTAAATCCTGTTTCTGTCAATTCATCAGACTCATTCTCCATCCAGCCTTGTTCCCTTGCTGATGAGGAGTTGTGATTTCTTGGAGGAGGAGAGGCGTTCTGGTTTTGGGTGTTTTTATCCTTTTTGCACTGGTTTCTTTCCATCTTTGTGGATTTGTAGTTGTTGACTTTCAGATGGGGTCTCTGAGTGGACATCCAGTTTGTTGATGATGAAGTTATTTCTTTCTGTTTCTTACTTTTTCTTCTAACAGTAAGGCCCCTCTGCTGTAGGACTCCTGAGGTCCACTCCAGACCCTGCTTGACTGGTGATCACCTGCAGCGGCTGCAGAACAGTAAGGGTTGCTGCCAGTTTCTTCTGCTATCTTTGTCCCAGAAGGATACCCGCCAGATGTCAGTCTGAGCTCTCCTTTATGAGGTGACTCTTTGGATATATGGGGGTCAGGAAGCTGCTTGAGGAGACAGTCTGTCCTTTATCGGAGCTCAAGTGCTGAGCTGTGAGCTCCATTGTTCCATTTAGAGCTGCTGGGCAGGTATGTTTAAGTCTGCTGCAGCAGAACTCATAAATGCCTTTTTTCCCCCCCAGGTGCTTCGTCCGGAGGAGTTAGGGCTTTATTTGTAAGTTTCTGTCATGCTGCTACCTTTTTTCAGGGTTGCCCTGCCCATCGAAGAGGTTGCCTAGTCACTGTCTGCCTGCCAAGGGTTTGCTGAGCTGCTGTGTGCTCAACCCAGCTGCCATGTGCACTTCCCTGCAGTCCTGTTTATATGGGTATCGTTAGAACTGCCTCGGCATTGGCGGCCCACCTCCGTAATGGCAGACTCTCTTTGTAATGGCGGACTGCCCTGGAAATGGCGGGCTGCCTCAGCAATGGTGGACTACCTCAGTAGTGGTGGATTGCCTCCGTAATGGCAGACGCCCCTCCCCACAGAGCTGGACCATCCCAGGTTCAGCTGTGCTTGCTGTGAAACTCTCAATCTAGAGCATTTCAGATTGCTCCTTTTTGTGGGGTTGGGACTGGCCAAGCCTGATTGTGTGGCTCCCTGCCTCAGACCCCTTTTTTCTTTAGTTGAATGGGCAACTCTGTCTCCCAGGCGTCCCAGTCACCAGTTGAAACATCACCCGGATTTGTGTGATTTCTTGTTTCAGCCGCTGCACTGGCTGAAACACCTGCTGGAGATTTGTGGCGCTTTTTCTCTGGGAATCTCCTGGCCTGGCTCCCTGTTTCAACCCTCTTTTTATCAGTGGAATGGGTGACTCTGTCTCCCCGGCATTCCAGTCTCCTGTTAAAAAGGTGCCAGGATCGGTTTGATTTCCCATGCAGGGACCCCCTGCACTGGCTGAAACAGCCACAAGGAGATTCATGGCGCTTTCTTGTCTGGGAATCTCCTGGCCTGGCTCCCTGTTTCAGTCCCCTTTTTACCAGTTGAATGGGCAACTCTGTCTCCCAGAAGCTCCAATCAGCAGCTAAAATGGCACCCAGACCCACATATTTTGTGCAGAGACCCACCCCGCCAGCCAAAACTGCCCCACTGGTGACCCATGGGGCTCCTCCTCCTGGGAATCTCCTGATCTTTGGGCAATAAAAATCCATCTGGAATTGCAGTATCCACTCACCCTTTATGCTTTCACTGGGAGCTGCAATCCTGAGCTTCTCCTAATCAGCCATCTTGGATCCTCCCCCCAGAAAGAATTTCTTTAATGTAGGTCTTATTACTTTTTCTCTTAAAATGTCATTAGTTCAGTCTTAGTCTTGAATGGTATTTCTGCTGTGCATAAAATTCACATTAGCCCACTGAAAGAAACATTCCACAGTCTTATGACTAAGATTGCTGGTGTTGAGGAGTCAGCTCTCAGTGTAATTGCTGTTTGAAGGTAATCTGCTTTTCTTGGCTGCTTTGAAAAATTCTGTCTTTGGTTTTCTACAGTTGCACTCAAATGTGTCCAAATGTAGGTTTTTTTTCTTTTAAAACCTTATCCTTAAGTGTAATGTGTTTAAGCAGTTTTGGAAATGCCTTAGTCATTATCTCTTAAAGTATTGCATCTGCTTCAACTTTTTCTTGTTCTGGAAACTTCTTGCATAATTCCAGTGTTTTTCTTCTGCGTTTTTCCACTTTTTGCATTTTTGTGGATTGTTCTGGTAATTTCTTTTAGTGAAACTTATATGCTAGCAATGCTTTCTTTAATTATGTCCCAGTTGCTGTTGAATTCATGTTTTACATTATTAATTTTGATTATAGTATAGAATAATGGCTTTAAGTGCTTTCCTTCCTTCATTGGATTTTCATATGGTAAATTTTTGTCTTGAAAGTAAGGCATTATTCTCTTATCTTCCCAAAGCTGTTAAGAAGATGCTTTAAAATTTTTGAGCCTTTGTCTTAAATAATTTTTAAAGTAGTGGTTTTCCTTATTGTTTTGTCAAGTAAAAATGATGTATATTTATGTACATGATGTTTTGATATATGTATACATTGTGGAATGGTGAAATCAAGTCACTTAACATACTTATTACCTTGCATACCTATCATTTTTTTTGTGGCAAACACTCGAAATCTACCCTTTTTAGCTATTTTCAAATGTATAGTATAATGTTATGAACCATCATCAGCATGACATACAACAGATCTTTGGAACTCATTCCTCCTAAATGAAAGTTTGTGTCCTTTGATCAACAGCTCCCTGGTCCACCAAACCCTAGCCCTTGGCAACCACCATTCTCCTCTCCGCTTATGTGAAATCAACTTTTTGCACTCCACATTTAAGATCATGAGGTATTTTTGTTTCTGTGTCTGGCTTATTTCACTTAACAGAATGTCCTCCAGATTTATTCACATTGTCACAAATGACATAATTTTCTTCTTTTTAAATGCTGAACAGCATTCCATTGTGTATATATAATTTTGTCTTCATCAGATTATTTAAAATATTTTATCTCAATTTTTCAGTTCTACTTCATCTCACCTGCCATTTATGAAAACTTATGTATATATATCACTAAGTCCTTTTAAAAAGTCAGGTAATACTTCATATTTCTAATGCTTCCTGAGTCTTCTACTTTTTGTTATCTGGTATGCGTAGTTTTTTTTCTTTTGAGTCACTCTCACCTCTTTTTGGAATTTCTGTAGCCCATATTTATTCCTTTAGTTTTACTTCTATGACACCAAATAATTAATGTAGACCTAAGTTCCTTGATATAACCTTTAGAGGGCATTATTAATTCTCTAACATAAAAATGAAGAAATTAGCACAATTATGCCTCCTTACATATTTCTATTACTTTATGTTTTCCTTTGTTATATTTACCTTCCCTTGCTTTGTAACACTTACATGCTATTTTATAATTAGTTATTAGACCCAATTTATATGACTTCTTTTTATATTTAAGTGGAATTAATATTCAATCTGAAGAGAGGCAGTTTTATGTGCTGATACCATCATCTCAGGGGTGCATGATTCTGGGAAACTGAAGCTTTAGTTTGGGTTTGTTGTTTGAGCACAATTTTCTACCAAAGTCTACTCTGTCTGAAGGCCTTAGATTTAGAAGCTCACATTTTGGGATGGGTAGATGACACAGGCAAGAAGACAGCACAGTCCATGGTACAGCCCTCTAACTCACAGGTCATTTCTGTGGCAGTTTATCTCTGCTCAATGAGTACTTCTGTCTGTTTCCCTCCCCTTTACCCTAGCACACCTGAAAGCCATTTCTCCAGTGTTGAATAGTTGAGTGAGAGGAGCTAGATGGTAAAGATATGTGGGGATCGCTCCCGTGTGAGGCCCCTGGGAAATGGGCCTCACCATACAGTGAACTTGAGCCCGGACACAGATCCCCAGCTGGGGGAGTCGAGCCGAGGGAAAGCAGGAACCGAGAGAGGGACTATGTTATTCTAAATAATTAACAGACATTACTTTATGGATATGAGGACTTGGGAGGCAATGTGTCCACTTTTGGCTCCTTATGGTTTATTGCTTGATTGTGTTCATTTTGGACCCTTGTCACCTTCTTTGTAAAATATTAACTTAAGTATTTACACTTGGTAACTTACTTATCGAAACTTACTGGGTGTAACTGTAACTTACTTACAATAACTTAGGGGGCATGACTGTAACTTACTTACCTTGACCTATTGGGCGTAACCTACTTACTGGAAGTAACCTACTTGCTGGGCATAACCTACTTACTGGACTTAACTTATTTACCGGGCGTAACTTAATGGGCATAACTTGCTTACTGTAACTTAAGTACGTTGATCTGGCGTAAACAACTTTGACTTCAGAAAAGTATATAATGAAATGTATTGCAAAGATAAAATTGCTGCTTGGACATAGCCTAAGCTAGCCCTCCAGACTCCGCTTTCCTTTATTCTTTCACTTCCGCACACTCTCTCCCTCAGGTTGAACGAGACATCTACATTGGCGGTCTCGGGGACTCCTGCAGGTTGGTAGTCCCCCAGCAGATGTGCCGGACCCCAACAAAGATACATGTCTACGTAGGTATTTCAGTTATCCTCCCACCATTAGTCAGTGTTGAATTTGACCCTCACATTCTCTCTACCACAGCCATGATCCCAATTCTTGTAGTTTGAGTAAATAAAATAGAAATGTGGTTAGCTTTTTGGGGCACTCTAATATTCTTTCAGAGGAATTTGTACTTCAACCAAGATCTGCAGGGCATTGAATTAATGTTTGGCATTCCCTTTGTGGTGAGAGCAAATGTCTGTATCTTCAGTTTAAAAAATAGTTTATGGTTTCAATTTCAGATATTTTGTTAAGTTTTATGGGAATGAACTGACTAAACATGTGAATTCCATAGTCTTTTACAAAAAGCACATGAGCCTGTTTCTGGGATATTTATTTCTATTTATTGATCTAGTCATTGGGGCCTATATCACTACTATACTCCTTTAATTACCAAAAGTTAGTGTTGTTTTTTGTTATCTACAGACCAACTTTATTCTCTTTATTTTACCTATTTAAAATAGCTTAATTAGGTGCCAGCTCTTATTCTTCCAAAAAAGCTTTAGAATCAGTGGACAATGCTAACATAGTCATAATAGAATTTTAATTATAACTACGTTTAAGATAACCTGGGAGAGATTTGATGTTCAAATAGTTAATTTAATAGGCTAAATAAAATAATAATGTATAAATTTTGCCCTCTTTCCAAATATGTCAAATTTACTTATAAATAACTAAAAGGGAACAATAATGTTATTTCATGAGAACAGTGATCATGTTGGTATTGTTCCTTAAAATAGTTTCAGAACCTAGCACAGTACCTGGCACCAAATACAAACTCAAACAATAGTAGAATGAATCAACAACTGAATTTAATAAAAACAAATCCACTTTTTAGAAATAACATTCTTAGCCTGTAGGACTTAGAAAAGAAATTGCTAACCCTAGTTGATTTAACAAAGTACTTTGAATCAAATGAGCCAAAAAAAGAAAATAAGCACATAATGCCCCACCCTTTTCCCTTCTGTAAACATCTGGATCCTTTTTTTGGTGCTCTCAAATTTTAAAATGGATTAATTTAGTTGGCTAGGATGTTCTGGATGAAAAAGGGGGAGGAAGGGTAACTTATTTTATGAGTAAACAATAGTATTGTAAATAGCTCAATTTTCTTCCATTGTGGTTTAAACAATACACAATTGAGCTCTTCCATTGTAGAGCATGATTTTGTATGAAGATGGTGAAACCATACATGCTGCAAATAATATCTGGAAGTTTATGAATAGAACTTTTGTGAAAATCTACTGAGAACCCCTGTCTATTTCTTTTAGACTCCTAGTACAGTTTTTGTGTTCCAGCATAGTTCAAAGGCATTTGTCTTCATTTACTCTGATTTCCCAGATCTTCTGCATTACCACAAGACAGCTTCCAGATGATGGGCAAATATGGCGAGGGATACTCTGCTAAATTCAGGGCTAAAGACCTTGCCACTGAACTATTTCTGGGACCCAGGAGAGTCTTTCCAGGAATACGACCTAAATGGAATAGAAATGGAAAGTGGACTTCTCTGTGATCCAAAAAGCTTAGGGGGGTCAATTCCCACCATTTATGTGTTAGGAAATCAATGCTGAGCTACATCAATGTTAACATATTCCTATTGGATTAATATCACTAATTTTCCCCCTGTTCTTCCAACTTTGGAGTTTTGCCTTTATGCTGCTGGGTCTGCTGTAATGGTCCTAGTGGTGTGTGACTGTCTGGGGGTTTCCATAGCCACATGGGTTTGACCATCACTTATCAAGTCTGTATTATTCACAACTACATATTTCACTTGTTTTAACTTTCCTATATTTTGCCATCTATAAAGTGGAGAAAGTCAGTATCTTGTTTCTTTGGCCAATCTGTTCATTTGACAGAAGGGGAACTTATGTAATGGGGAACTGAAACATCCGCTGCTCCGCCTATCTGCTTCTCTTATTGTGTGTTTCCCCTAAAAAACAAAATCTTCTCTAGTGACTTTGTCCTTTAGCTCAAGTTAGAGAATGCTTCATAAGGATAATATCATGTTTCCACAGATGCTCTCATCCTGCCTCATACAATTCCCAATAATTCAGAATATATATGCACTAATGTGTTGATGGCTCAATGAGACCAACATTTCTGTTGATTCTCTGCAGAAATGTAGAGGTTTGACCATTTATTCATTCTCTTATTTGTTCAAAAAGGAAATGACTGCAGGTCCTGGGCTACCTTCTGGGATTAATACAAACATGTTTCCTATACCCTCAAATCCTTGATTTCTTACACCTAGGCTAGTGAGATCTATGACATCTAGGATCTTTTAACTTTCTATATGAAAAAATTTAGCCATTAAACCAAACAGTCAAGCAACCAATCAATCAACTGACCAATGAACCAAATGACTGACCGACTGAACAGCTGACTGACTGACTGATGACTGACCGACCAATCGAACAACCAACCAGCCTATTGTACTCTGTAATTTGATTAATAGATGCTAAATGATGGAGACTTTTTTTAAAAAGAAGAAATGTTCTTTCTTCCATTTCTCTAGCATTTGAGCTCTTTCCCAGTCTTATTACATACTTTGTAGCATGTCACTGCTTGGAATTGAGTGTTTTAAATCTCTATTAGGTAATTGGGAACACAACATCTGATAAAGCTCTGTAACAATGGAAATGCTTTGTTGTTTTGAGTTTCTGGCATTTTTTTCCCTCTCAAACTGTCTTATAACCAGTTCTTAATAACTAGTATAAGGAATAAATATTATAAAGAACATATTGAATATGAGATGAATATTACTGTAATTTTACCAAATATGCCAAAAATGTCAATTTAACTTCATCAGGAAAACCATTTCAAGAATTGGCAGGTAATTGAAATATGCATTATTACTTGCTCAAGTGAAAAAGAAAAGAGGTGCGTAAAACAGAAAAAGGTAGTGCATTTTGATGTTGCCTTCAAATTTGCCCTTTATTTGAACAGGTTGCCCAGAAAAATTAGAACTTTTAATCAGCTGAAAGCATTCTTACTACTAAATGGCTTTCTCCTTGATTGCATACAAATTAGAGAATATCAATGACATAACATAACAGAATTAAGCCAAAGGTAAAACATAACACTATACAACCATACTCAGACACAAGAATGTTTTAACTGTGGCATCTTCAGGAAGAATTTGAGAGTCAACATGGATTATGTATGTAGTCTTTTCTCCCTATACCTGATCCTTTGATATCCTCATCCTGTTCCAAAGCTTCAGTTACCACCTCTATGAAGAAGGTACTCAAGACTAGAATGCTAATTTCCTTAATTTCTCTTTTACCAGCCGAGTTTTTATTTCACACTACCTTAAGGATGTTGATTGTTTGCTATCAAAGCTATGCTGTTAATGAGACCCATAGTTACATTTTCTTTCAAAACATTACTTACAGATAAAGCTCTAAATCTCCATGAGATTTATTTCCTACCTCTTCTCCAAGAAGTATTGTGTGTAGTCTTGGCCTACATTGCGATTATTCCTAAAGGGTAATTACTTATTTGTGTAGTATCCGATAGTGATAATCAGTCATTCATTTATTGAACACATGCCATTTACCAGGCTAATTAGAAACATGGGAGATAAAAAGGTCAATGAGATCCAGACTTTACCCTTGGTAATTTTGTTGCCAACTGAAAGAGCTCTGACATATAAACAGACAAAGTGATAACAAAATGGGAGTAAATGCAAAAATCAAGGTAGAAACAATGTGTTCTATGGATATAGGGAGAATCCAATTTTGTCAGGCCCAGTTAGGGAAAGAAAAGGTGATTTTTATATGTGTCTTGAAGGTTGGAAAGATGTCCAGTCTTAGAAGAGAAAAGAGGACACTTGAGGCAGAGCAAATAGCATATACAATGGTCAGGGACGAATACAGGGGCAAACCGAAGAAGATAGTAATAAATTCAACACGACTGAAGATGGGGAAATGTGGAATTGCTGCTGGAAAGGTGTATTGTGGTCACATTTAAAATGCCCTTTCTTGCTCTACCCAGGAGTTTGAGTTTTGTTTTCCAGGTAATATGTAGCTATCTAAAATTTTAAGCAGATAAAATAAAATATAATTTATTCCCACATTATTATGGGAATAAAACATATTCCATAATATTCCCATAATAATGAGAATATATTTTTTTCCTAAAGGAAGATAATTTTGGGAGCTGTGTAGAGGATGTTTTCAAGGAGAAGAATGCAATAAGATTAGATAGAAAACCAATGTAATAATCCAGGTGAGAGTTGATGGAAATTTGAAATAAGAAAAAACAGCAGCTTGGGAAGGAAAGGAGGGGACAAATCCAAGAGAAGTTTCTGAGCAAGAATGGGCAGGACTTGCTAATGGTTTGGATAGAGAGTTCTGGGATGAAAAGAAATAGAAGGTGTCTTTGCAATTTTTGGCTTGGGAGATGAATTAATCTTAGGATCATAGGAGAATAGGCCAGTAGAGAAGGGAAGATGCTTGATCTTGGATATGTTCATTTAACAAGTTTGTGGGACATCCGTGTGGGTATGCCCATTAGGCAGTGCAAAATATGAATATCAGCTGGGCAGAATGATAAGGGATGGAGTTTTGGTAATCATTAAGAAATAGATCATAAAAAGGATCACGAGGTTAAGAGATCGAGACCATCCTGGTCAATATGGTGAAACCCCGTCTCTACTAAAAATACAAAAAATTAGCGGGGGCATGGGGGCGCGTGCCTGTAATCCCAGCTACTCAGGAGGCTGAGGCAGGAGAATTGCCTGAACCCAGGAGGCGGAGGTTGTGGTGAGCCGACATCGCGCCATTGCACTCCAGCCTGGGTAACAAGAGCGAAACTCCGTCTCAAAAAAAAAAAAAAAAAATTTCTTAATTTCTCTGGCAAAAATAACAAATAAAATAACAAATAAAAACCAAATGAGATTTTGGGCTGATATATCAGGATAATAGATAATATAATTTTTTAAAAATGGGTTCAATTTTCTCGTTTTTCTCTTTGGTAGAAGAATGTTCAGTCAACTTTCATGGACCTTAGACAGAGCCAGAGATCAGTATGTTTAAGTTAATTAGTAACTTGAAATGCTTTTTTCTTGTGTTTCGGAGAAAGAACAGGAGACAGATTGCTGTGGAAATATAAGATGTTATTTCTGCAAAAATACTTGTATCTTTACCAATTTTAAATGTCAGTTTTCTTTTCCTTAAGTTTATTTTACCTGTCTACTTGGATGAGCTTCAGAACTATCTATGTCTGAGGAATATTATCTTTCTCTTCTATGTTTTGATGTAGAGCAACCTTTCTGCACCATATGTTGAAAAATCTGAAACTATATTATTTAGTAGAAACAATTCAAGATTTGGAAAAAAGTCATGAATTAAACTGGAATGAAAATAATATATTTTGAAAAAGCAAACCAGTGAGAGCTGGACATGTTATGTTCTAAAATAATAGGTAATATATCTTTAATCATTGAAATAATATTTATGTGCTATTTTCCTAATTACATATTCATAAGATTTTAGAATAGAATGAAATTTTGAGGTCACCTAGACCAGTTACATCACTTTGTGAGTAAGGAAATATTAAGCTTAGAAATATTAAGTCCCCTTTTCAAGGTCACACAGGAATCAGTAGCAGAGCTTAAATGAGAATTTAACTTGTCTGATTCC